CATCACCATATGGCGCAGTGACCAGCACTGTTGAACACAGCACTGGTATTTAGTTTAGACATATGAATGCAGCTTCTGTAATTATTTCCTAAGCAATTACTAGTTCCTCATTCATATTATCATTTCACACTGTGAATCAAAATTCTCCTTTGGATTGCAAAATCTTTTACTTCAGAATATACCGTTTGTCTTGAAGAAAAGTTCAGATACTGTAGGTGCAATGCTACAGTTTTCACGGAGGACCCACATCTTAATTTCCTGTTGGAAGTGATTGAGGAAGTAGCCACCTACCCCTCATTGTCTGCTGCTTTAACATGTAAATAGCTCAGATGGAGAAAACATATTGCCCCTGGATGAAAAGACAAATAACCACATTCACTTTTAAAACTTTTGTATTTGAGTATTTTATTTTTGTGAAACCGTAATAACTTCTTCCCAGCGTCTTTTTCACTGGGTGTCACTTTCTTTCAGGTCATGAGAATTTCATGAAAAGAGTAATTCACTGGCTAAGGCATTTCGGCTCATGCCCTCTGCTGCTCATGTGCTGCGTACATCTGTCACACCAAATGTGCCTCTGTGCGGCCTCAGACACTAGGTGTACACAGTGTTGAAATGCAACTGGAAAAATATATACAAAGGCTTGATCAAGCATTAGCTCTAAGTCAGCAGAGTGAGGTGGGTATGGTGACAGCTGTCCAATCTTCCCCTCTCCCCCTCCTTCCTCACCAGCCAACATCACTTTTCAAAAATGTTCTGTTTGCCATACATAGGCAGCTGCCACCACCGTGAACTTCCATAAGACAGCCACCTGCTAAAGGACATTTGTACATGTCTTTGTTTAATTAAGGTGAATGCCAGTTCATTGGCCCCCTCATGCAATATGACTGAAAATAAGTCAACCTCGATCAGGCTCTTGCCAGTGGAAGGTTTGGAGGCTTGTAGAAGGCGAGTGTCTTCTTTATTGATCGGTTTTGCCACAAAAAATGGTACATGTTCACTGTTTTTATAGTACAACTTGCATGTGATGCTGCCAGATACATATATTTGATTAAATATAGGCTTATTTGACCACTGTTTTTCACACTGGTACGTTTTATACGTATAAAAACAAAAGAAAAAAAGCCACACGCACAGTGCTGTTTCACAAACCAATTACACGATGTCACACCTATGTTTATTATTGTTCTTCTGGACCTCAAAAATGCAGTATCACTTACTTCCAATGTGAAACTTAAGCTTGTTTTGATGAACAAAAAACAGGTATTTGGGCGGTACTGGTAACCAACACATACAGCTCCTGGCGCAACTGCTCAGTCTTTTAGCAGTTTTTGTTTGCAGGGTTATGTAATTTAGTCTTGAAAAGCTGGTAGGCTGTATGTGTATGTGTGTATTTTCACAGTACACCTAGGTAACTCTGATGACACACCGGTTGAAAATCAGAGCATTTGGTAAGGCTTTTAAAGAGACAGTTTGACATTTTGGAAAATGTATCATTCGCAGTCAGAGGAGTGGTTCGATTTTAATTTCATCTCTGTCCGTCCCACATGGAGATAGGTGACGCTAGGACATGTTTAGACCTGTGGCAGGGGGTAATGGTTACTCTAGTGAAAGAAAAATTCTTTTTAAAACTTTAAATGTATGTATTGCATTGTTGACATTGACACTGTGGCTTTAGGGGCAGGTGCATGTGGGAGCTACAGTGTCTCCTGACCAACAGCTGCTGGAAGCAGTAGCTGCCCACAGCATCACAAAAACAAGAGTCTTGTACTCATAGTAGGGCTGTGTGCTTTTTTTTAATGGAGGTGGGTCACTAGTTGTATGCTTTAAGTGCTGCCTGGGCTGAAACTGATATGAGCTTCCATATGAATCTCTATAAAAGCTTCTCTCAGGGTGAAGCTGTTTTTCTCTGTCTGACTGTTTTTGACTTCTTTTCTGATTTTCTAACCTCGGACAGCCGTGTGATAAGTTTTTAATCTATTATAATTAGCAGTACCAATGGCAAGGGAGTCAGCAGGGCAGAGGTGGGGTTGGTTCACCCTGGAGAGCAAGCCTTATGAATCACTGGCAGGCGATAAATGGACTGGATCATTACTGAATCAAGTGATCTGCAGAATAATCTATTGATTTTTTAGTCTTTCTTGCGTCTTTATTATTCTGTATCACAGTATTGCAACATCAGGAGGAACCCACTGATGGATGGGTAGCTTGGATCTCTGCAGTGGCCATGGGGTGTTTGGTTGTAATATACTTAACACATTCCAGGGTACTGGGCATGCAATATATATAATAACATGTAGATTTATGACTTGTAAAGTGTGCTTTAAAAATTTTCTTTGACTATATACAGAGCATCATTATTTTTGAATGAGTCATCATATTGATGTTTTAAGGGGCATAATAGGAGATGAATGAACTATGAACAAGCTCTAAAGTATTAATTCAAGTCATTTTTGAGATTAATCTATTAAAATCAAAGTGTTGAATTTCTGTGAACTGGCCATTTTTGGTTCAAATGCTGCACAAATGCTTCAACAGAATGCCTTGGAGATGGTGATGTAATTATAGAAAGAAAGATGGTGGTGATGTAGTTATAATATGACAAATACATTAACAAATATTCTAAATCTAGTGGAGGTATACCAGGCAAGTAGGTCACAATTCTAAACCCTATAAGGCAGGTAGAGACTAAGGCACTATCTACCTTGTTAGTTTACTTTGCGATCGATTCTCTCGATCCTTTATTATGTACAGCAGGACACATCACAAAACTGCTAATTGGCAATAATTTGTTTGTCAATAGTTCACAAGAGTGCAGAATTTAGATAAGGAAAGTTCAAGTTTAAAATACATTATCACAGTCCTACTATTCCGATGGGCTTTGCTCCTGTCATGCTCAGAATATTTTACAGTAAATTATTGATGTTTGTTAGGTGGTAGGAAAGGTGATACAGAAGGAAAACAAAGAGAGGAGGTGACAGTGTTCTGCCAATAGGAAGGTAAACTTAAAATGGACTGTGGAAAATGTTGGTTGATTAACTGTGAATCTTAAAACATATACAAAAGGAAGTCTAATTCTGGAGAAAAGATGTTCAATTTTAATTTAAAGTTTGGATGCATTAATATCATTTATGCCACTAAAATAATCATATTAGCTGCGAACAAGACATTCAGCCAAAATGTGACTGGACCTGGCCATGCGTACTGTGAAATCGATAATAAAGAATAATCACTGTGGATCACTGCAGCTCCTCTCAGTTCAGTTCACCTCCATTTTTTCAGTTTTTATTGACATTTACACAGTTCAAGTCCAGTGAATAACCTTAAGTGGTACAAAGTAAACTGCCAGAGGTAAAACAAAGCAAAACAAAAAACAAACAACAAAAAGTCTTCCAAAACTAAAAATGCACAGTATATAAATTTCATATTAAATTGGCCTTTTTCAGGGTTCTAGTAATAGGTTAACTTGGAAATGAAGACTTGAAAATGGATGTGAACAGTTCCTACGGTTCCAACTTTTGTTGATGACTTACAACAACAAATAACTGGCATGACATATATTAGCAGATACTTGTTTGATTGTGGACAGAAAACCCAATACCACGTTTCAGCTTTTCATT